TTATGAAGGGGAGATAGATAGATAGATAGATAGATAGATGGATAGATAGATAGATAGATGATAGATAGATAGATAGATAGATACGAATAGAATGATATAGATGGTTATGAAGGGGAGATAGATGGATAGATAGATAGATATGAATGGAATGAGATAGATGGTTATGAGGAGATAGATAGATAGATAGATAGATGAATGCAGATAGAATGATATATAGATAGTTATGAAGGAGGGATAGATAGATAGATAGATAGATGAATGAGATAGATAGTTAGAGAGGAGATAGATAGATAGATAGATAGATAGATAGATAGATAGATAGATAGGAACAGGAATGACTGATGGTTATGAAGAGGGATAGATAGATAGATAGATAGATAGAATGAGATAGATGGTTATGAAGAGGAGATAGATAGATAGATGGATGATATGGATAGATGGATAGATAGATACAGAATAGAATGATATAGATAGTTATGAAGAGGAGATAGATAGATAGATAGATAGATAGATATGAAGAGAATGAGATAGATAGTTATGAAGAGGAGATAGATAGATAGATAGATAGATAGATAGATAGATAGATAGATAGATGAATCAATAGAATGATATAGATAGTTATGAAGAGGGAGATGGATAGATAGATAGATAGATGTGAAGAGAATGAGATAGATGGTTATGAAGAGGAGATAGATAGATAGAAATAGATAGATAGATAGAAAAATACAGATAGAATGATATAGATAGTTATGAAGAGGAGATAGATAGATAGATAGATATGAATAGTGATGAGATAGATGGTTATGAAGGGAGATAGATAGATAGATAGATAGATAGATAGATAGATAGATAGATAGATAGATAGAATGATACGAATAGAATGATATAGATAGTTATGAAGAGGAGATAGATAGATAGATAGATAGATAGATAGATATGAAGAGAATGAGATTAATAAATATATAGGAACAGATTGATCGATCGATCGATAGATACATAGATAGATAGACAGACAGACAGATAGATAGGAACAATATGATGTAGATAGATTGATATATAGATAGATGTGAAGAGAATGAGATAAATAGGAACAGCATGAGATAGATTGATCAATCGATAGATAGATAGATAGATAGATAGATAGATAGAAGGAACAGACTGAGATAGATAGATAGAGAGATAGATAGATAGGAAAATAAATGAAATAGATCACTACAATCTTAACCTCTTCAATTGTAAAGTTAACCATTGTTTTACACTCTTGTCCATATAAATACCCCTTATATGCACAAATGAGATAGATAGATAGATAGATAGATAGATAGATAGATAGATAGATAGATAGAAAGAAATTGTTTCGGTGGGTGGGCAAATATTAAAACGAGAATAATAATTGACACGATCGGTCGAAATGACACACATACACACACATATTGATTATTCACGTTTTCGGACATTTCATGTCAATTCCTATCTATCTATCGATCGATATATATATATAGATATATATATATGCTCGCATATTCCGCCCATGATATTCTCAGCATCCTTCTGTAGAACAACATATCTGTTGCTTCAAGTCTCTTCTTCATCTTTGAGGAGATTGTCCAGCATTCTCTGATATATACGTCGACTGATATTACGTAATAATGCAGTACTCTTTTCTTGGATTCTCTTTTGAGTACATCAAATGCTTCCAAAATCTTGCTACATCTACGGTATATTATGCTTCAACGTTAGAAACAATGAAGAAAAATACAACAATTCTGAAAATTAATTTAAAAAAGTGAAAATGGCGGGTATTTGACAGCTGTCAAAATGAACTAAATACGACTTATCTAAAATGTAGTTATTTAAAAGTAAGCGTTTATAATACCATTTTACAGAAAAACAGCACGAACTTTTTGGTACCCAAAATGCTTTAGAAATAAATCCAAATAAAATCACATGTGGACATGACAGCTGTCCCAACGTAAGAAAACTGATCTCTTTTATTTCAACATTTTTTTTATATATTTTCCTTCAATAAACTTACGTAACTAACATTAAATACTGTTAAAGTCATCCAATGTAAACGAACATTTGATATAACCAAAGAAATAAACGGCCGGTTAGCTCCCATATGCAACTGCGCCATAACTCCTAAAAACAAGGATTGTTCAGATATTCCACTTTACACTGCGTGCCAAATTATTATCGAGATAACCTTTTTTCTAATATTTCAAAAACCGTCCAATCAATTCACACAAAATTTTCACACAATGTTGGCAACACTGATCTGCGCAATCCCTAAAATGTTCTTACTGATCTGCGCAATGTAAACAAACTGGTGCCATATTTGTTATCAGCACGGTGATTTGAGCGTGCCAAATTGTTAGAAAAGTGTAACAATTCAATGAAAAGATGGGCCGTAAAAGCAGTGATGCTGAAAAGAAAACTATCACCTCAGAACTCTCAAAAGATAAATCTATCGTATAAATTTCTAAAATGATAGGGAGGTGTCATAAAACAACGAAAAAGTTCACCGCCGACCCTACACAAGTACTCAAAAGGGCAGATAAAGTCAAGCCGAGGGTTATTTCACGTTGTCTCATGTCACGACTTAAACGAGAGGCCACGAAGAACCCTGGACTTACCAGTCAAGAGCTTTTTAGTCGCATTGGGGATCCTACTGTGTCTAAACGTACTCGGCGTCGGTATCGGAGGGAAATAGCAACAACAGTCAAACCTGTATCGAAGTCTCCTTTGACAAGAAATTACACTCAAAATCGATTGAAATGGGACGAGGACAATATGAAGATTGACTTCTCTAAAGTTTTGTTCACAAACGAAACTCGAGCAACACTTGATGGGCCAGATAGATGGTGCAAAGGCTGGGTAATGAACGGACAGAATCTCCATCAGCGTTTGAGACGCCAAGGCGGTGGAGGCATAATGATCTGGGGTGGTATTATTGGAAAAAACATTAGTGGGCCCATGGTGAGTAGAAGATGGCGTCAAAATGTCTGCTGATGCATACATAGCGTTTATAAAGGAGCATCTTGAACCGTGGTTGAAAAGGCAAAGACTTGCCTTCAGAAGGGCTATTGTTTTTATGCAAGATGATGCTCCCTCACATGCTGCTCACAAGACAACTGAATATTTGAAACAGTTAAGCTTCGATGGACCTCGCAGAATGAAGTGGCCAGAAGATTCTCCGGATTTGGACCCAATCGAAAACCTTTGGAGCATCATGAAGCGAAGACTGTACGCCAACGGACAACAATTCCGGAGCAACGCTGAGTTGTGGGAAACAATTCTTGACATATGTAGCGACATTACAGCAGATGACATCCTACAATTAACAAATTCTATGGATCGTCGACTTCTTCAAGTAATTTCAAAACAGGGAAAGCACATTCCCTATTAATTTGTTTAAAACTGTGCCTTTGTTTGTATCTGTTATTATTTGTTTGATTATCTTAGGTATTAGCTTTTTTTGATCATAAACATTCACATGCAACATTAATAAACGTTTTGTTTACTCAATTCTGGGAATTTTACTAAACTTTTCTAATAATTTGGCTCGCTCAAATCACCCTGCTGATAACAAATATGGAGCCGGTTTGTTTACATTGCGCAGATCAGTACGAAATTGATTGCGCAGGACAGTGTTGCCAACATTGTGTGTGAATTTTGTGTCAATTGATGGGACGGTTTTTGAAATATTAGAAAAAAAGTTATCTCGATAAAAATTTGGCACGCAGTGTATTTCAGTAAACACAGAGGTTCATCATTATCATCATCAAATCACAAGGGATGTCATGTGTGTGACGATAAGCTACATCCGCGCCCTGGGTATGACTATAAACAACGTCCGCGTCCTGGGTAAGAGAATAAAATACGTCTGCGTCCTGGGTATGACGATAAACTACACCCGCGTCCTGGGTATGACGATAATCTACGTCCGCGTCCTGGGCAAGACGATAAACGACGTCCGCGTCATGGGTGTGACGATAAACTACGTCCGAGTCATGGATAAGACGGTATACTACGTCCGCGTCCTGAGTAAGACGATAAACTACGTCCGCGTTTTGGATATGACGATCAACTACTTCCGCTTCCTGGTTAAGGCGATAAACTATGTCCTCGTCCCGGGTATGACGATAAACTACATCCTCGTCCTGGCTATGACGATAAACTACGTCCGCGTCCTGGGTAAGACGATAAACTATGTCCAACAACAAGGTAACTGATCAATGGGATTTGAGAAGCGTGGAAGCCCGTCTTAATTGCTGGTGTTCCCTGGTCTACCCTTACCCCGGGTGGTAGCACCTGCAAGAGTCCCAGATATGGCCAAATAGTTAATCCCAAACTGAGGTCAAAACACTATGAAAGTGTGAAAATAGATTTTAATACCAGAAATACTTTGTAAAAAATTATTACCAGCAGTAAATTTTTGGAAAAAAAATATTACCAGCAATACATTATTACCAGCAATACATATTTCAAAAAAATATTACCAGCAATACATTTTTTGGAAAACATATTACAAGATATATATATTTGAAAAAAATAATAATAATATTACCAGCTATACATATTTTGAAAAAAATTTTACCAGCGATATTTTTTTAAAGAAAAATATTACCAGAAATAGATTTTTGAAGAAAAAATATTACCAGAAATAAAAATTTGGTCGGCATTAAATAACCTATTGAAGTAATGATATGCCGTAAAACAAAGCGAAATAATCCGTTTTATTTCCGTAATACAGAGGTTCATCATCGCCATCCTCAAATCGCAGGCGAGCGTCTCGTTGATATATTGTTACTTCCACCGAAAGTGCACGAACAAATTGCAATTCTTGGTTGGGCCAAATCTGATCTTCACGGTCCGGACCCAACATGCCACTGACAATGATGCAAACCATCGACATTTGCTGCTCCGTATTCGATCGGTGAGAAGTAAGTTCTATTCGAGCGACTTCTTCCAGCGAGCCATTTGCTCTGTGGCACCGGCTCCCAAGAAGATTTTTCCACGATCATTACAATCTAAACCTGTTCAATTGAAAAATTAAGAATTGTCTTAACTCCTGCCCTTATAAATGCCCCTTATATGCACAGAATGAGATAGATAGATCGGCAGATAGATAGATAAGGAACAGAATGATGTAGATAGATAGATTGATATCAACAGATAAAGAGAGATACAGAGATATGGACAGAATAAGATAGATCGATCGATAGATAGGAATAGAATGATGTGTATAAAAAGGATCGTCAGGGAATTCCTGACGATCCGCTTAGGTGAAAACTTGGTAGCTTTGTGTGGCTATCTAGGTTTAACTAGGTCTGCTCTACTTACCGTATTGAGCACTTTAGTTATTTTGTGTACTCGCATCGTTTTTTTTTTTGGGGGGGGGCTTTGGACTTGGATGCTGGATGATTTTTTTCGATTAACTTACATGTTCTTGATTCTTTCTTTTTTATACCTTTTTTTCCCTTTGGTATTGGTTTGATTATTCGCAAATCAACACACCGAAGGTTTTCCGAGCAGTATAGTTTCTTATACTTATAAGATTTACCTATTAATAATATATATATATATATATATATATATATATATATATATATATATATATATATATAGAGAGAGAGAGAGAGAGAGAGATAGATAGATGGTATTTATCAATCCATCCACGGGGATCGAATGTGGCACAAGGCTTTTTTAATGTGGGTATCTCTGAGCCCGTAGGCCCAGCCAAAAATAAATAACCATCCAAACCCGCCGAGGCGGGCCAGTTCCGTCAACCTCCCCCAACGAAACTCTACCCTTCGGCGGAGCTTCGTCCGGGTTCCTCTCTGCAAGCAGAGAGTTCGACAGACACCCGACCCGGCATCTCACAAAGCGCAGATACTACACTTTGATCCTAGCCACAGGGCCGAGCGGGTATTCTTTTTATAGATATGATAGATAGATAGATAGATAGAGATAGAGAGAGAGAGAGAGAGAGAGAGAGAGAGAGAGAGAGAACTGGATAGATAGATAGATGCCGTTGTTTCCCTCTGTCTTTTCTACAAATACTTTCACGGTAACTGCTCCGACGAACTACTTTCGCTCGTTCCCAAACTGCATGAATTTAAACGTGCCACTAGATCGAAATCTCAGTCCCACCCTTTCTCTGTCAAATCGGCTAAATGTAGCTGTCTCTTCTACTCCACTAGTTTCATTATCTCGCACTTCCCGTCTGTGGAACTCCCTTCCTCTTACTTGCTTCCCTGATAGCTATAATCGCCAACTATTCAAATGCAGTGCCAATCGACATCTTCAGATGCCTTGATCTAATTCCCCGTCCTTCTCTTCAGCCTTTCCTCTATCACGCCTTTTTACTCTTGCTCCCACCTCTATGTAACATCTTGCGTGCTAGTGGTACTCCCGCCTTGTTTGTTGTTGAAAAAATAGATAGATAGATAGAAACGGACTGAGATAGATTGATAGATAGATAGATAGATATAAACAGACTTGGATAGATAGATAGATAGAAACGGACTGAGATAGATAGATAGAAACGGACTGAGATAGATAGATAGATAGATAGATAGATAGATAGATAGATAGATAGAAACTGTCTGAGGGAAGTGGATGTATTAAAAAGGAAAAAAAATCATTGAAATGATCAGACCGTAATAACTCGCACACATACACACACTCACCCACACCCACACATACACACACACACACACAGATACTACACGAACGCACACATACACAGATACTACAATCTGAACCTATTCAATGCTAAACTATTGTCTTCCCCTCCTGTCCATATAAATACCTTAAACTAACACTCTACCTGAAGTGGCTTCCGGGCCTTTTACAGAATGAACCCAACGGGAAAGAAAATGAAAGAGGCGCAAGTGGGGAAAAAAAAAAAAAAAACAAACTATGATGTGCCCAGCCCAGGGGAAGAGCTTCGCGAGGCTGCACCCGCTCACGGCACTGAAGCGAAGGAATCGGTGCTCGCCCCGATGCCAGTGTAACCAACGTTTGAGGTACTCGGAGAATTTTTGTCCTTTGCTCGAGGATACGCGCTCGGGTTCCCCTCATTAAACACGACCTTATGTCACGCCTCGTCTAGAATGGGACGACCGGGTACATAACCCTGTGACCGAGTTTGGTCGTAGAGACAAAGTAGCCACGGCGCGTCAATATCCGAGTCTTTTTGAATGCGTAGCTCTAAACCTAATTTTCCTTCTGTCCGTCTCTTCTTTCAATCGCCCCAGGACTTATCTTTTAGGATGGCAGTCTAACGATTGTTGGTTCTTATGTCATGGCTACATCATTTCAACTTTCTCTTCTTGAAGCTGGATATGAGATATCCCAACGGCTCGTGTTCCGCACGTCAACCTTCCTTATGCGGTCTGCGGAGAAGATGCCCGGGATATGGTACCGTAGCATCGCATTTCTAATCTTAAGTTTTCTTCGCTGTAATTCCACTGTTAAGATCCAATAACCGCTGGTGAAAACAAAGATTAAAAAGTCCAAATCAGGCAAAAGTCTGATTTTTGACTCAATTCAAATGTTGTTTCGATATTTCTGTGATAAGGTACTGTAATTAATTATACTATTTAAATTCTTTGGACTGTTGTCCTCATCTACGTTGCTGTATTCACAACGTTTCGGCCATTGTACGCTCCGTCCTTCTTCAGGATCTGTATATTTCTGAGATAAGGTATTGTAATTATGTACACTATTTAAATTCTTCCGACTGTTGTCTTCATCTACGTTGTCGTATTCACGACGTTACGGCCGTGTTACGCTCCGGCTTTCTTCAGGATCTGTCTATATTTCTGAGATAAGGTATTGTAATTATGTATACTATTTACAATGTTCGTGCTGTTGTCCTTATCTTCGTTGTCATATTCACGACTTTTCACCGTTGTACGCTTCGCCTTCTTCAGAGACGATTGATATTTCTGAGATGAGGTATTGTAATTATTTACACTATTTACAGTGTTCGGGCTGTTGGCCTCACCTTCGTCGCTATATTCATGACGTTTCGACTGTTGTACGTTTCACCCTTCTTCATGATCTGTGTTTACTTCTGATATGAGGTATTTAATTATTTAGACTATGTACATTTTTCGGACCGTTGTCCTCATCTACCTTGCTATATTCACGACGTTTCGTCATTGTACTCTCCGGCCTTCTTCAGGGTCTATTGATATCTCTGAGATGAGGTATTGTAATTATTGACACTATTTACATGGTTCGAACTGTTGGCCTCATCTTCGTTGCCATATTGGCGACGTTTCGGCCATTGTACGCTCTGCTCTTCTTTGGCGGCTGTCTGTATTTCTGAGATAAGGTATTGTAATTATTTACATTGTTCGGACTGTTGATATCATCTTCATTGCCATATTCACGGCATTTCGACCCTTGTACGCTCCTGCCTTCTTCCGGATCTGTATTTCTGATATGAGGCATTGTGATTATTTACATTATTTATATTGTTCGGACTGTTGGTCTCATCTTCGTTGTCATATTCATGACGTTTCGACATTGTACGCTCGGGCCTTCTTCAGGGTCTATTGATATTTTAGAGATGAGGTATTGTAATTATTTACACTATTTACATGGTTCGAACTGTTGGCCTCATCGTCGTTGCCATATTGGCGACGTTTCGACTGTTGTACGTTCCAACCTTCTTCATGATCTGTGTTTACTTCTGAGATGAGTTATTTAATTATTTAGACTGTGTACATTTTTCGGACTGTTGTCCTCATCTACGTTGTTGTATTCACGACGTTTCTGCCGTTGTACGCTCCGGCCTTCTTCGGAATCTGTTTATATTTCTAGATACCGTATTCCCCATGTATAATACGCATCTTTTTCTAAAAAATAAGAAGATAAATTTGGGGTGCATATTATGCACACCTACAAAAAAAATCTTTAAAAAAAATTGCTGCTTCATAGATCGATTTCAGTTGCGACACAAACATACGAAAATTTGACACTAACATTCGGTGACTGCGACCCCATAAGGATGTCAGATACAATGATATGTACCTAACAATACTTACAAATATAAAATAAAAATAGAATTAAGATAAAACTAAACTAGAATAACATTTAAAACCATTTCTTACATACAGATCCGGTAGAGTGACATTTTATCAAACAAAAACAAATTAATGATTCTGCACAGTAAAGCACATTATAGATATTTCCGTTTCCTTTTAGAATCATGATGATTGCAAATATTGATAAATATCTTCAATTACAGCGTGAATAAGAGTAGGAATCGCTGGCCGTAATGAAATTGAAGAGGTTCAATTTATAGGGTTTGATTTCCAAACAAGGGGTGCGTATTATGCGTGAGTAGAAACATTTTTCGTACACTTTCAGTACAATTTTAGGAGTGAGTATTATGGATGCGGGCGTATTATACATGGGGGATTACGGTATCTTATATTACACTTTTTATTACATCATACTATTTTTACTTTTCAAATAAACCAATTTCACTCTTGTACAGCAGGATCATGTTTTGATATTGTCTGATAAATCAGCGCCGATCAAATCAAGTTGGATATTCTGAATTCTGCTAATTATTCTGTTTAAAATGATTTTTTTTAAAAATAAGATTAGGAAACGCTGACCATAATGAAATTGGAGAGGTACAATTTATAGGGTTTGATTACCAAACAAGGGGTGCGTATTATGCGTGGGTAGAAGCATATTCCCACACTTTCAGCACACATTTTGGGGTGCGTATTATGAATGAAGGCGTGATATACACGGGGGATTACGGTAGTTCTTTCTTTCCGCCTTTTTCTTTACAAACTTTTGTAGATTACTGTAGATTTCGTTTTTAAATTTAGCTTTTACAAAAAAACACGGTCGGCACTATACGGAGACATCTTTTTTTATTTATTTTTCCAAAATTTTGTTGCCCTAAATTATTGCAACGTGTTATACAAGAGCTTGTATTATACCTGAATAATAATAGTACTAAGGATGAAAAAAAAAAGGGGCGTGGATACTTTTGGAGCAAGAACACATGGGGTTGATTCGACCTACAGCTAAAACCATCCTATGCGTGAGCAATAACAGTAATGGCGCAGAATGTCGGCTGTATCAGCCATTCTTACCGCTGCCGTCATCCCTCTCCTTGATATTGCAAGTAATTACCGTAGCGCATATTCAAAGACAGAATGACATCGGCTCATGAAAAGATGAATAGGAACACTGTAAATAGAAAATGCTTTCAAATGACAACCCGTTCATATATATATATATATATATATATATATATATATATATATATATATATATATGCATGCGCGTATGCGTGTGTGTATAGTAGCCCGCCCACCACACACGCACACACACAAACAAACACACACGCGCGCGCGCACATACAAAAAATAGCGAACGCGCGCGAGAATAATAAGACTCTTTTGATGACGTCAAAACGATGTTCCAGGAAAGGCGAAGACGGAAGCGGAAGTCAGTGCTGATTTGGAGGAAAATGCGAGATAGTGAGATGCAGATGCAAAAGCAAATAATGGGGATTATCTGCTGAGATTTGGCAAGCGAATTGTCTATTGTAGCGATTTTTGATAAGAAGAAAATAAGTCATAAATAAATCAGTGAATAAAGAAAACAAAGGATCGAATCAAAATTTGTGAAAGAAAACGTATTTTTTTCCCTTTACTCCGCACCAGCATATATATCTAGATCCCTCGTTATAATGCTACACGGCTTTTTGACTCTGTCTCTTAATATCTATCAATACCATCCATTTCATTGGCATTATCTATCTATCTATCTATCTATCTATCTATCTATCTATCTTTTCAGTCTTTTCATATTTATCTATGTACCTATACACATGAGCAAAATGCTTTATCTATCTAGTTAAAATATCAGTTTTGAACCCATTAATCTATCTATCTATCTATCTATCTATCTATCTATCTCAGTCTATTCATATCTATCTATCTATCTATCTATCTATCTATCTATCTATCTATCTTTTCAGTCTTTTCATATTTATCTATATACCTATACACATGAGCAAAATGCTTTATCTATCTAGTTAAAATATCAGTTTTGAACCCATTAATCTATCTATCTATCTATCTATCTATCTATCTATCTTTTCAGTCTTTTCATATCTATCTATGTACCTATACACATGAGTAAAATGCTTTACCTATCTAGTTAAAATATCAGTTTTGAACCCATTAATCTATCTATCTATCTATCTATCTATCTATCTATCTATCCAAGTGTCTAGCTATCTATCTATCTCAGTCTGTTCTTTATCTATCTATCTATCTATCTATCTATCTATCTATCTATCTATCTATCTCAGTCTGTTATCTATCTATCTATCTATCTATCTATCTAAGTGTCTAGCTATCTATCTATCTCAGTCTGTTATCTATCTATCTATCTATCTATCTCAAACTCGTCCGTGTTGCTTCCTTCATCAATACCTTACCTCTTCAGTATATATTGATTGAATGAACATTTTCGAACAGTAGGACATTTCCCAGAAGGTGGCATTTCATTGTAGAAGATTGCGACATCATTTCTTTTTATTCTAAGCATTCTTCAATTTAGTCAACATGCCTTGTTCAAGAAATCATTGCAATTGAGAGTTTCAATAACCAGGTCAGTGTGTCAAAATTCTAAACATTTTCCGATCAGACATTTAGTCTTCTTACGTTCCCTCCAAGACTTTCTTCACATTCCTCACGTAGGAATCGAATATGCTCTTCAGGAATGGTTGTGAAGATGATTCTCTCGTTTCCTTGCTTGCAGTCCCTTTTTTCCTAACTCTTATAAAACTGGACGGGTGCTTGATATTCTTTATACAGTCCCTTTAGCTGACAGACATGGCGGAGGGTAACAAAAAATGTTTTTGTTTATAAAAAAAATAAAGTTAAAAACATCAGTTAAATAATTTTACGTAGTTTCATTTGAATTTAAATACGTGTTGGAATTTGTTTTACGTATTCCAATTTCTTTTGAAGAGTAAACAATATAAATGTGTTTCATTAAAACGGATTATATATAAGGTGGTTTCATTAAGACGGATCAAAGTCAGCAGTAAATAAATCAGTGTTATTATGGAAAAATTATTTATTGCTCTATTGGATCATGTGATTCAAATCATGGCAATTATGTGTGAAAAATAATTTCGCCCAAATGTCCGCCAAGGCTTCGGCAGCACACCTCCACTCGATGATCAAAATATTTGATGACGTCTCTGCATTGTTGCTCATTAATCTCAACAATATGCCTTATTATCTCATCCTTACTGTTTTCATGGGATAAATCACGATACATTTACAATGTAGTGTTAATCCTCTACCGTATATTCAAATATGAAAGCAGATTAATATATCATATTTTTATTACTTCCAAGATCCCAAGAAAATTAAATTTCGCCATTAAATGGCCCATAAGGAGTTGCTATGCCGTTAAATATATCAAAACAAACGGGTAAATAATTTACTTGGTGGATATCTCTACACCTAGAGCCAATCATCTGACTTCAAGAGCATTTTCGAATGGAGTATGCCAAAGTACATAAGAATTGGCTCATATAATGTCTAAAGTAGTCGACGTTTATTGTTTCTTACTACATTTGTTTACCATTTTCATGGTTTCTATCTCGATACATTCAAAATCTTCTGCATAGTATTGAATCATGATTTTTGTATCGAGCTTGATCCGTTTACCTTCGTCCTGATTAGTCGTTGTTTCATTAAAACGGATTATATATAAAGGGTGTTTCATTAAGACGGATTATATATTAAGGGTGTTTCATTAAGACGGATTATATATCAAGGATGTTCCATTAAGATGGATTATATCTGAAGGGTGTTTCATTAAGACGGATTATATATGAAGTGTGTTTCATTAAGACGGATTATATATATGGGTGTTTCATTAAGACGGATTATATATAAAGAGTGTTTCATTAAGACAGATTACATATCAAGGGTGTTTCATTAAGATGGATTATATATGAAGGGTGTTTCATTAAGACGGATTACATATCAAGGGTGTTTCATTAAGATGGATTAAATAGAAAGGATGTTCCATTAAGACGGATTATATATAAGGGTGTTTCATTAAGACGGATTATATATAAAGGGTGTTTCATTAAGACGGATTATATATCAGGGGGTTTCATTAAGATGGATTATATATAAAGGGGGTTTCATTAAGACGGATTATATATATGGGTGTTTCATTAAAACGGATTATATATATAAAGGATGTTCCATTAAGACAGATTATATATCAAGGGTGTTTCATTAAGATGGATTATATATCAGGGCGTTTCATTAAGATGGATTATATATAAAGGTGTTTCATTAAGACGGATCAAAGTCAAGAGTAAATAAATCAGTGTTATTGGTGAAAATTTATTTATTTCTCTATTGGATCATGTTATTTAAGACATGGCAATTATGTGCGAAAAATAATATCACCACAAAGCCCGCCAAATCTGAAAGAAAAAGATAAAAATCATTAGACGCTTAAATTTAATTCACATTAAAATCAATCCGACACACTTTAGTATTATTTATTCACTTGAAATCCAGATTTTTGAATTTTGACTGTCATCTGTTACTCTTAGTGTTAAAGGTTCACGCGTAATATTAAAAATAAATACCAGAATTGCGACATTCACGTTAATAATGGATGGAATCAACGAATAAAATAAACTTATAAACAAACAAAAAAATTAAAAAAAAAATGTATTTTTTTATAATATATCTTTTTCAAGTTACTCTTACTTTTTGAAATTCTATGTCATTTGTCAGTAATTCGAAATCTTTTTTTTTATCATTTTGCGCTAAGACAAGCGATAATTCCAGTAAGATGCAAGGTGTTACTGGGAGCGGAAGTGAACAGTAAAACTTGAGGGAGTTTAAGCGATTAAAACAGGACAATAAAAGAACAAGATCCGCTGACATAAAGCGAATCAAATAAATCATTCCCAACGAATCCGTTCACGCGAACGCTGGTGTCTCCATAGCCTCTATCCTGGATCCTACACTGTTTCTGACCTTCATCAATGATCATTCTGATGTCATCAGTTCCCAAGTAGGCATTTATGCAGGTGACACTACCATTTACTCTTGTCTCAAGAGCATATCCATCAGAGCTGACAAAGTCAACCTGGCCGCTGCTCTCCAAAAAGACCTTCAATCAGTGGTTGATCAATCAGTGTAGGAAATAGTTTAGGAGTTTTAATGCCTCCAAAACAAAACAGGTCTCATTTAGCCACCGTCTTGGCCTCATGCTTTCGAATGACATGAAGTGGAACAACTACACTGAATCAATAGCTGCATCTACTGCAAGGAAAGTTAGCTCACTGTGTCGTGCCAAAAGGTTTTTCTCGACAGAGTTCATCATACATATCTACAAATCTACCATTTGTCCGTTCTCTGATTACTGTTGCCATATCTGGTTTGGTGCCCCTGCTGTTCATGTCGAAGTTCTCGACAAAATCCAAAGAAGATCCTGCAATATAATCGATCCTGACTTGGCATCTCGACTTCAGTCAATTTCTCACAGACGTGATATGGCTTCACCTTTTCTTTTTTTATAGATATTTTTTATGGCAACTGTTCTCTCGGGATTTTTGCCCTGGTGTCCCGACTAAGTGAATTTAAGCGGGTCACTAGACTAACAACTAGGTCCCACCATTTTACTGTAGAAATAGGTTAAATGTAAGCACTACTTCTACTCCAACAGTTTCTTTTCTCGCACTTCCCGCCTGTAGAAGTCTCTTCCGCTTATTTGTTTCCCTAATAACAACAATCTTCACAAATTTAAACACAACGTCAACCGCTATCTTCTGATGTCTTGAACACTGTCCATCTTTTATCTTCTCTTAATTCCCCCTATACAGAGATTTTTTTCGCTTAACTTCACTCTATTCACCCCCCACCCCCTGCGAAACAGTAGCACTCCAGTCTTGTTGGGGGTAAATGCTTTTAAAAAATTGCTACAGCAATTGCAAGGAAAATGTTTCAGTGTGTTATGCCAGATATTTTTCTCGTCAGAATTTTCCAGATATTTTTTCTTGTCAGATGAGATTTTACCCTCGACTACATAAATTCAAACGTGCTTCTAAATCCGCAATTATGTCTCAACGTTTTACTGATGAACTAACTAGAGGCAACCGTCGTTTCTACTCTTAACATTTTCTTTTCTCCCACTTCTCACCTGTGGACCACCTTTTCCGTTTGATTGCTTCGCTCTCAGCTACAGTCTTTAAACCCTTAAATTAGATACCTCAATTGGATTTTCGATGCCTAAGGTTTAAAATGAAAATTTAAAAATGAAGTATTCTTGAAGATTTCATTTTAGGTTTAATTGAAAGCTAAATGATTAAATTTATTATTTCCAATAAGTAAAATATTCCGGTGTATTCCGGATAGAAATTATGTAGATTGAAATGTCAAATATTTGCTCGATTTTTTCAAAAATTATCTTAAAAACGGCAATTTTCTTAATTTTAAGAAACAAAACAAAATTACCGGTTTTAAAAATCTTCCAAAAGTAAAATATATATTTCTGAGACGGTATTTGAGTAAAATCAGAACATTTAAATTTAAATTAAATGATTTAATATAAATATTACTTATAGAATAAAGAAAATAAAATACAAACATTTCTTAACATTGGGTTCTGTTTTTCTTTTATTTTTATTGAGATTTCGATAAGTTCCGCGGTGATGACAGCTCTTATGGATGACCGGAATTGATATAAATTGACGATATCTAAATGAATATAATCGCCATGTTATGTCATCTTGAACCTTGTTCCTTTCTTGCACTTTCTACAATTATCTCCCCTTAGTTCTCATTCTGTTTGTCTCCCTGTAAACCCAATCGTTTTTATCTGAAAACCCATCCGTTTTACTGCTTTGTTTAGGGTGAATCGATTAAACAAAAAGGTGTTCAGGAAAACCGAAAATGACGATTGTAGTTCCATTTCACTTTTTGAAGATTGTAGGTGACAGGGAAGCAAGAAAGGGTGTTCCATAAGAGAAACGTGCAATTGAAGAAACTATTAGAGTAGAACTTACGGTAGCGCCTAGCTAGCTCAACGGGGAGACCTAGTTGCCTTTTGAGTCCCAACCATCGCTTTATCGGTGGTAGAGAAAAAGGACGTAATAACCAGCCACCAGTTGAAGAGTCGTAGAGAGAAATGACTTAATTCCCAGCCTCCTGTTGAAAAACACCGATTGGTAAACACTTGCGTTGTGTTTTGCTATTGTATTGTTCCATGCAACTTCCCGCCAGTGAGACAAGTCCCTCAGTTTCAGAAATTTCCTAGATCTGTGTGGATCTGGTGGGTGAATTCCGGCCAGCTGCAGTACACAGGCACTCGATCAATGCTGATGCTCTGGAACGCCTGCAAAATGTAGGTCTCCATCTGTCATACATACCAGAAGATGCCTCCACCAAAAATCTCTGTGTGCTCTTATAAATACAATAAATTAAAAGAAGAAAAAAACAAACGTGGCCTACAAAGACTATCCTGTCAAGGCTGTGAAGTCTTCAGTCTGCTGCGCAACATACACGAAGATGCCTCCACTAACAACCTCTGTGATGTATGCTCTTATAAATTCAAGCAGAAAAACCCAACTGTGGCCTACAAAGACTATCCTGTCAAGGCTGTGAAGTCTTCAGTCCGCGGTACAACATGCTAGCGCTTCTTGTGCATCAAGTGAGTCAACACCTGCTGGGTAGACTGACCCACAAAGAAAGAATTTTAGCGATAAAGTAAAGGCATGAAATTATACTCCATCCCTGCTAAGTATCATGCTTATAGTTTTCTATTTTTTTATATCTAC